AGGAGTTATCTCAATCAAGAAAGCTGGATTTATTGGGAGTTTCTGCTTTATGCATGCTGAAAAGTGCATGCCAACATGTCGACTTGTTATAGCAACTTCTTAACCAATACCTAGTTAGTAAGCTTCACTTAGTATGGAATGATTAATAGGTCCTCTGTGCCTATTTCATACTTTTTTCCTCCCTCAGTTCGGCTATTTATATTCTGGACTGTTAAAATAAGGAAAACTAGAGACTGGACTCCCTGAATAGGCAACTACGAATTTTCATCTCTCCCAGCAATAAGCATACCTAATTGATAAGAACAAAAGGAAAAAATTCTAACCACTCCTTATTTTCCATTCTCCTTGATCAAATCCAATTCTTCGTTTCCTGAAGTGGCAACTTAAATTGAAAAAATACGATAATGTACACTTTTAATAGAATTGGTTGCATTTTTACCAATGTGACAAGTAGACCCTCTGCTAACAAAGTGATATACTCGATCTTTATTCCAATCAGACTTCGGATATATAGTGAGACCTCTATGAGACGAATTCAAGTTCATTCCAAGATTGCTATTGACATGTTGGTAATCTGTGCAGCTCCGTCAGTAGAATTCAGCACTAATATCCCATAAAAACCACTTCTAACTATCTAGAAATGGGAAAGTATCCATTCCAAAAAGAAATAATTTAAAATAAGAAAACAGTCCCCATATTTTTAAGCATCCCATTGATGTTGAAAATTCCGAACTCACAGATTTTAATATGATTATTAACTTATTACCAGCCGTTTGCTTACTAATAAGTAGCTTGAAAGCTCATGTTTTGAAAGCGTAGGGCAACTGATTCCAATTCTCTTCTTTTCATCCAATTAATCACAATAAGCATTGCCAAATTTCTGTCAAATTTGACGTAGCTTTATTGGCGGCTTTGTGCGTTTTACTCGGTGCGTATGTGGTTGATCAGGTTTCTTTGGCCAACAGCATCGATCGTGCCCGAATTTGTATCTGCTGTGTCATTATGTATTTGTTATGATATTTGTACCACCTCGCGCCATGTTGCATCTTTCAGGGAAGTGGGTGAATAAAACACGAAAATTGAGTACTATTGTTCTGTATTTTGGTTGATAAATACAATACTTTATGAAGACAGAATATTCATGTGGCGAATCAGGCTTCCAAATGGTAATGATTTCAATTTTTGGCTTCCATTTTGATATTGAGGGGAAAATCTGCTGAGTTGTGCCCTTTTGAACTTCATGACCTTCAGAGGAAAGCAGGTTATTCGTGATAGAATAAAGCAAAGGAAAATGACGAATTAATCGATATGATTTGAACAATGCATTCGGGATAGTTCGAATTTCTCATCTTAGAAGTCCCTTTCACCTTCCCACATAACCTCTGAAAACTAAGGGCTATTCTAGTGGTGTTCCAAACATTCATTCTAGTTTTAAACTTGGTCAGTCGGCAAGATGCGATAAGATTTTGATGGCATGTTTCCATGTTGCTATATTTCAATGGGCATTTAACTTCCAAGGTTGGCAGGCAAAATGAACCTGTTGAAACAAAGCTTGGAATGGAGAACAGGCTGATGGCGAACCCCATTTTAAGACTTAAAAATGTAATTATAATTTTTTTATAAGAAATGGAACAAGTGAGGAGCACGTACCATATTCGGCTTCGTTTGAAATTCAAAGGCGGTATATGCATTCGACCGGAGTTTTCTTAAACCCCTAGGCTCGTTTCTATATAAAATTTGAACAACGCTCCTTAGAGATACTGAATCTCTCTGAGTTTGATCTGCAAGTTGAAGCGGTCAGCTACACAGGCAAGCCTTGATTTATGCCCAGTAATCTTTATGAGAAGATGGTCTCAACAATAAAGTGGAAACAGACGTGCAGTATGAAATATGTTTATTTTGGGATGCGTGTTTGTCACAGAGCTAGGTCATTCAAATAGCACTAAGGGTTTTTGTTAGGTAATGCAAGCTGAAGGGCCTCAACACTATCACACTTGCTTCTTACGGAATAAGTAGCATCCACACTTTCTAGTCTGTCTCAGGAGGTTTCTTTGTTCAGTCATGATGACGTCTAATCGGCGAACTTCACTCTGTTCAGTTAGCACGGTTAACTGCTGGGTAGAAAAATGTCTGGAGATCTTTGTGTGGAGTTAATATTTATTCTTTCCAACTTCCATACCTATAAGTAGGTAAATTGAAATTATTTCGTCCAAAATTATCGGCTAGTGGCGAAATTGAAGCGCGACTTTTCGATAAAGCAGTAGTTTCTTTTTTCTCTCTCTAAGCGAGGGCGATTAATCCAATTCCTCCCTAAGAATGCGAAGGGAATTTCGACATCTTGCAATGCCGCTTTAAGCAAAAGGGGAAAGGGAGGATTGTGTTGCAAAATTTGTTAAATTAAACTAAATTAAACTAAATTAAACTAAATTAAACTAAATTATTCAAATCGAAATACTGATGATCGGTTGTTATCAAGTCAGATTTTTATTTGCTACCGTTGAATTATATAAAATATCGATTATTTGCATTAGTTTTATTTAATAAAAATCTTGTTCAATGTTGCCTCAACAAAGTCACAAGTCGAAAAGGAGATTATTGTAATTTTCATTTAGAAGCTTAGTTTCTTCATGGTTCGAACCACTCTATGTGTGAAGGCCAAATACCTGGAATGTGACAACATTGGAATATATCTACCAACCGCATCGTTTTATTTTGGCACTAAAATGTGATTCCGCCAATGCGCGATATCTTCGTCACTTTTAAAAACTCTACGATCACCCGCCTTGTTTGCTGAAGGTCTTTAAGATAGGAGGGAGGGGGGATTGGGAGGCATCGACTATCCAATATTGTTCCTTGAGGTCTTAATCTTAACTAATTATTTTCTATCTGAGCTAATTTTCTGCCAGTTAGTATGTTCTCGAGGTATCTCAATTCACGCATGCTTTAAACCAAAGGAGGTGCAAATAGCATTCCGCTATTTTTAGATCTCTGGCCTCTGAAACATATGTGCCCCCCCCCCCCCCCCGATGTTACTCTCCCCAACTTGTGTATTACATCATGATTTCTGTTAAATTATAGCATTCGTTTTGCCACTTTATTTATTTATTTATTATTTATACTAGCCTTTAATTTGGAAAGTAATTTTTGCCTAAGAGACCAAAAGTCAGTGCAGTATGATCTGAAAAAGGTCACGTAAAATATTTATTTATTTATTTATATCAAATGGCAGGCATTTTGATAGTTATCATAAGCCCTTTAGTTGACTTCAGGCTTCACAGAGAAGAAGGAACATCAAAGTGAAAAAAGTCGAGAGGGGGAAGGGAACAGAAGAGTATTTCAAAGATGTAAAAGAGAGAGACACAAAGGTAGAGTGAAAAAGATGAGGTGAGTACTGTGGAAGTAGTCGAATAGGGCATACAGTGAGGTGATGGTGTTTTGAAGTCGAAAGTCAACTGCCGAATAATAGACTTTTTTGGCGTATGAGTATACGTTGACCAGGGTGCACCACGTGGAGGTAAGTCTATCACACACCCTAGATCACGTAAAATAAGAATCCCTCAAAATCCTGTCTTTGAAATCTATTTTATCCACCTTTTATAATTTCGCTTTCTAAAGTTCAAATTTGTGCCGAATACCACTCTTCAAACCATTCTTACAAAATCATTTTATTTATCTATTTCAAATGGCAGGCATTTTGATAGTTATCATTAGCCCATTAATTGACTTCGGGCTTCACAGAAGGGAGGAACATTAAAGTGAGAAAAATTCGACAGGGGAAATGAAGAGCGATTCACAGATGTAAAAGAGACAGACAGACAGACACAAAGGCAGAGAAAAGGATAGATGGGTACTGTGGAAGGGGTCGAATATGACATACAGTGGGGTCATGGTAGTTTGAAGTCAGAAGTCAACTGCCGGTTAATTGACTTTTTTGCCGTATGAGTATACGTTGCCCAGAGTGCACCACGTGGAGGTAAGTCTATCGCACACCCCTCTTACAAAATCATAAAATATGGAATCATTAACGGAATTAGTCATCTTACTGTAAGAGTGTCGATGAAACAAACTCAATGTAAATATGGCTTGCTGTAAATATGATCGCCAAATGAACATATTTAACACAATTTTGAGTGAATTCTAGGTACTTTTTGCTTGAGACGGTCTCTGTCGGCACGGCCGAGCTTGGTCGCTAACCAATCATATGGGGATCGCCCTTTCCCGAATACTTTAGCGATGGGGAAGTTATTTGGGTTGGACTGAAAAGCGGTTTACACTCCATGCATTTAAGAATAATTTCCAAATTTAAAGGCTGCATTCATATTCGTAGCAAATTAGAGCAATTTGACAGTCTAATTAATTTAGGTGAATTATCAAAATTTTCAATTCTGTTATTTGCACAAGTAGGCAAGATACTCTGAGTGTAAGAGAGCTAACGTGATTCAATTGTGAGAGAGCTCATTGTATTTCAAATAAATAATATCACTCCTATATTTGTGACTCAATATAAAATTTTCACTTGAAACTTACCATTACTGCGAAAAGCCTCCACTAACTTTCAATTGAAAAGGCCGTTGTCATTGTAATACCGGAGACTGGTAGAGTTCCACTGATTCCTTAATCTTCCTTCATCTTAAAACAAAATATCTTGAATAATCCATGTAATTGGACTTTTCCTCATAAGTATAATTTGTCGAAGGTTTGCCTTGTATGGTGAATAAATAAACACTATTATGCTTTCAAATCAAAAACGCTAATACGCTATTTTTTAATCCTTATATACCCTTTGCTTGACCTGGCTTTTAAATTGTATTAGTGAAGCAGATAAATAAATTAAACTATTAAATTACGCATCTTGTAGTTAAAAAAATACAGAAATTTCACCTCCATTAAGTCACGTCCTTAACTCCAGCCAATCGGAGTGACATAAAGTTATTGCATCATCCATTCCCAGTCGCCTTGTGGACTTTATAAGTACATGTTTTCTAAAAGCAAATTACAAAATGCAGGAGATTGATGAGATAAGAAGACATACCCCTACTAGATTACAGCAGAGATTCTCTCTAATTTTGCAAGATTTGAAAAGTCAGCTGAACTACATAGACGACACCATTAGTACCAGCCAATCTGCCTCTGATATTGCTCACATCCGAACGGATTCATTTTCAAAGATTGATTCATATCGACACTGGGCCATTGATTGTCCGATTGATGATTATGCTGATGAGCCTCAAGAGCAGTAAGTTCAATTTCACAATTAAATGCTAAAATTTGACGATTGCGATATTAATTACAGGTAATTTATTGTTAGATTCAATCATTGGTCAATCGTTATTTATTTGGCACAAAAAAGCTGTAATATTTATTTATATTTCAAATGTCGGGCTTTATGACACTTATCATTAGCCCCTTAGCTGACTTCGGGCTTCGCAGAGGGTAGGAACATCAAATTGAGAAAAAGTGGATAGGGGAAACAGAAGAGTGATTCGAAGATGTTAAAGAGACAGACAAAACAGACACAAAGGCAGAGAAAGGTAAAATGAGTACTGTGAAAGTGGCCGAATATGACATACAGTGGGGTCATGTCGGTGCGTACCATGGAAGTGGTCGAATATGACATACAGTGGAGTCATGGTAAACAGTGGAAGTGGTCGAATATGCCATACAGTGAGGTCACGGTAGCTTGAAGTCAGAAGTCAACTGCCGATTAATAGACTTTTTTGCCACATGCAGTCAGAAGTCAACTGCCGGTTAATAGACTTTTTTACCGTTGTTGCCCAGGGCGCACCACGTGGAGGTAAGTCTATCGCACCCCAAGGTTGTAATATAATTTCACTACACATTTTCCTGACTTTGTATAAATTCATTTGAGTTTCACTCTTTTTCAATGGCAGTTGGAGTTATTAGTTTTTTTGTTGGGTGCGGTGGGTTGGGGAGGGGGGTATATTTTAATTAGAAGCGTCTTCAAATTGAGGATGAAGGCTGTAATAAAGCTGGTGTTAGTTGGTCGACACAACCAAAAGTGCTTTCAACCCAGCATTCACATGAAAAGTTATTTGATAAATTTTCTTGTTTATGGTCATACATTAAATCGAGTGCGTTTTGATGTTTATGTGGGTGCTATTATTTCCATGGCCGCCAGAAGCCAAGGTCGCTAGCTTCAGAATTATTGCCGGTTTATTTATAATGTTAGTGTGCCAACAGCCATGATCTTATTTCGTCCTAGTCCCATTCATAGGTTCTAACTTGGATGTTTATTCAACCAAATTTCCTTTGCCTGTTGAAGTTATCTGGAGTGAATGATGCTCCCAGTGGGGAGGTTAGGGGATGCATTCACGTTTGTCCTACATTCAATGTTTTTATAACGTGACATAGTTAATGAGAGTTTGTTTCAGTCCACAGGTAATTGAATTCGTTATTAAGCCAGTGCTAAGGCTTTATAAATTTTTACAACGAACAACTGACTGTTTAAGGGTAAATCCACGAGTCCAATGGAGTATGAATCTAAACTTATTCCAATTATGAAAATAATGAGTATCAGATATTCACTAGTTATTCTGTAGTTTACACGAGAAGAAGAGAAGCTGATGTAGTGCGTATCTACAAAGGGGGTGGAGGTGGGGTGGGGGGAGGGGAGGGGGTACGGTTAATTGGTTTTTTTCAAGACTCGTATGAACGTCCAAAGTTCTGCGTAGTCACGACAGGTAATCCCACCAAGTAGGACAACACGGTGTCCGAGGCCACATGTAGGGTGCAGAAATAATATCATAACTTGAGAAAGAAATTAACTAATTAAAACATCGCAGAGATTTTCCTATTCCCATAAGAAATTTACTCCATTTCGTCAGGTCAATTTTTCTTCTATTGTGCCAACCAACTTTTTCTAACTTGTATAAGCAAGTAGGTTTATAGTAAAAGGTAATGGGGTATTTGTTCAAAGCTGCTTTCTTAATCTGCTTATTAATGCAAAGGAAATGCATTTTTGACAGGACTGATGCTTAAAATAGGCATTTTCACTGACCGCAAAATAATTGCTAAAACATTTGCTTCTTCCGAACTGACATTTATTTCCCATTTCACATCAAGCATGAACCGAAATGTCAACAACTTTTCTTGGATTGGAATTCGCTTTTTATCTTGAATTGATAAAATTCCAAGTGATTGAAAATTCTAAGACTTTCTACGAATAAGATTACTGATTGATGTTTAACTGACACCAAGTTATAAGAATTGTTGCTTAATTCATATGGGAAATCTTTGTAGACAATCGTTTATTTATATCCCAGTAAACCAATGAATACAAAGCGGATTGCTGCACTAATAAGCCTTGACTTTACTTAGAAATCTCCCTTTCAAATTCTCGTATCTTTATAATAACCCTCACAACTAGCTAAGATACTGCAAAGTTATGGAGGAAACAAATGCATTACGTGGAACATGTTGTTCATATTATTGTATTAATATGGCACGGTTTTGATAAAACAAAGAAGGGCTATTTATTGGCGATTGGCTGGGCGATCTTCCCGCTCTCATGTCTACACTCAATCCCTTCGCGAAGTTGCACAGCCCCACCTTCAAGCCTGCCTGAGTGCGCATAGGATTACTTCGTTCAGTGGTGACAACATGGTGTTCTCCACAAGTGAAATTGTGCATTTCTGCAACTTCTAACAGAGAACCCATTTTGAGCATACCGTAACATGATTATTTAATCTGTAATAACTGAAAAACTCGAAAATTATACATATTTTGAGTTTAGACGAAACATTAAAAAGTGCATATGTGGTTTTTTGTTCACGGAACTACATTTACTATGAGAATTCATATTTAATAGGCTTTTAGTATTTCTCCTTCCAAATTCAACACTCTCAAACACCATATATATATTTTTTTTTCAGGTTAAAGATAAGTAGTTACATTTCAGAAATAGTGGTGCAAGAATGTTTCCTTTCAGTTCAATTAAATATAATTGTTTTTGCACCTTGTTAGTATTCAAGAAATGGGAGCACGAATATGCCACCTCAAAATCAGCAAAATCGGTCCATCTAAAAGGATACGAAATTTATAGGCATAGAATATTACAGAAACTGGTGCCATTCTGAAACTTAGAGTGTATGGACATGAAATTGTGAACTCAACTCACAGAGTAAAAATGAAGAATACTGGCCATAGAATCAAACTTACTTTAATTTCTTTTTGATAACATGACTTCACGTTTTAGTTATTCCCAATTCTCCTTTTATTATAAGCACGATTTCTCACATTCTCTTTATTTCGGTCTATTTTTTGTAATGATGATTGCAAATTGCTTCGTTTTGTACAGGGCTAAAATTAGACCAACCATAGGTCGCATTTGGCAATACCATCTTTGAATTGGAGATTATATTATCCAAGTTTAGTCCAGCACTTTAGTACAGTATTAGTGGCTTTTTAAATTACTTAAAACCTCATTTAATCTTCTAGGTGTGCCGAATGTGGCGCCGAGTTGGATGACTTATGCCAACTCTATAGAGAGAAAGCGCTCTGCTCCCAATGCTTCCTGAACAGCGAAATTGTCGCGGTTTGCAACGCTTGCCAGTATGTCCCTCCTCTTATATATTTGCCGAATTATATTCGAGTGGCAATTTGAATTCACGTAGGTCATCCAAATTAGCCAGGATGAAGTGGGGTTGCCAAGAAGAATGGGAAAGTTGAGTTTGTAATGTTGTTGTTAACATGACTCACTTCCTTTGAAGTTGCAAATTAGAAGAAGTGGCAATGGTTATCCCCCTCTACTGAATTCATTTAAGGCCCAAGGCACAAAAATCTTCCAATCAGGATGCTATAAAAGCCAATGTCGTTAGTTGTCTCTGACAAACGCAACTTAACTGACCTATTCAGAGTATAAAAGGCCAAATCTTTCTGATTGTAATGTATTATTCCAGTAGTCATTAAATTTATGATGCAATAAATATTAATGCTGAAATGAGTGTCTAAAGGTACAAATTGCCTTCCTTCCTAAATAAACTGCCAAAACAATCAGGTGCTCTGTGATGCAAATACCATCCACGCTGCAGATATGATTGATGAAGTATTGTTCTTTCAATCAAACCCAAAAAATGGCAGAAATGCCAGGAATACTTATTAATCAAGTGGAAATATTGTTGTCAGCATCTGCTGAAGGAGAATATTTTGGTTTGCACGAATTATATGACATCCCTGTTGACGAGCATTCACTATTTAATCTAGCATTTATTGTAATGTTATCATGAATATTTTGTGAAATAAATTGGGACAAAGCGTTATTTAGCTTCAAAAATTATAAAACCTGTAATAACTTTCAATGAATAAAGCTACTTTATGTTTTACCATTTTGGAAGTAAATCAGGATATTTGAATAAGAGGAGGAGGAGGAGGAGGAGGAAGGGGAACAATGTACTCATTGTCACCACTGAATTGTTCGTGCGATGGAGCTCTTGCCCGTAGTGGAAATTTTTAGACTAGACTCCATCTATGGTAATTCTTTTCTACGGCAGATCTCCCATCAATCGCATGGTGCTTGAGCAAAATATCTAGAATGGTCAAAATCTCATTCACCGCTTGAAATGTACTTCGTCCTTTTTGACTACTCCCCAAATACATAAAAAGACATTAGTTCTATGAAATAACTCATCTTGAAATTATGCCAGTCTAGATCAATTCACCACACTATGGTAAAGTTTGAATAGTTCATTAGTAATGGAACTAAGATAGCGATATAATACAGTAATGGAAGATAGAATCAGGTCAGCGCAGCATGGTGGGGATAGATAAATACTAAAGGATGTTAAAACGCAATAAAGTATACCTTTTCCATTCTAGTCAATTAGAAAGTTCTTCTAGACGTTATTCCCGTTTTTTTGTGATAAACAACAATTCCCCTTATTACAAGAATATGGAAGTTCGGCCCTGTAAACGGAGGCAGTAAAGGAAGCAATCTGTGTGAGGGCTGGTTTCAACAATATTTCTCCTATATCGGCATTAAAAGGTGAATAAGAGACCATACGTTGACCTTTTACTGGTTACAAACTATTTATTGATTAGGAATAAGATAAGACAGTGCAAAACACGCAGAATGACAAGGCGTTCGGACAGTTGAATGCATTAATCGTACATTATAATCACCTGCGGTGATGCATGGTCTTGTTGGTCTCGTCTTAAATGGACTGCACCAAGTATTTTATTATTTCGCGGTAAATGTTGAGTCAAAGTTTACAAAAGTAATGAAGCAACCTCGTCTAAGCTACAAAACACTTAAGAATTAAGAATAAAATACATCTGACTGGAACATTTGGCAGTGATTGTTTTAGCAAACCAAGTAATCAATTCACGTATTTTCATCCTATTGCCTTTTTGTCAGTGAGGCAATAGAAGGTCGGGTTGTCAAAGCTCTGGGAAAAACATGGCATCCACATCACCTCGTTTGCAGTAAATGCGAAATGAATCTCAGTGGAGGTCCATTCTACGAAGAGAATGGGAAACCGCTGTGCTTTCACCACTTCCGCAATATCAACAAAGAGGCCTGTCATAAATGTCGAAATCTCCTTCCCGAGAGTGTCGTGGAATTTAGCAATAAGCTCTACTGCCCGGATCACTTTGACTGTGAATTTTGTGATTCACCTCTCAAATCAGGGTGAGATTTCATCCATTTTTTCTTCATTTATTGCTAGGTGCAGAACTCATCATTTACTATATATGCATTCTACAAACTTTTCAGAAAGTGTTTATTTTTTTGAAGTAAGTCAGGTAGAAGTTGGAAGAATACACGAAAGTTAAAACTTCGAAAGGTCGCAGAAAAGTAAGTTTTTAGTTTAGCTGAAACAAGTAAGCATAAAGCGTGAATTACATGTTACTCCACCTGTAATCCATTCTTGATGCTCATGGTGGCAAAATATTTCAGAGAAGGAATGAAACCTGTTTAGAATTGGAGTACGTAGGGAAGTAGGGATAGCGAGATTTTTACCCTAATCTTGATTATTCTAGATGCACTGCGTGTTCGATTTCTTATTAGAGATGTGGGTCACTTTGTAAAATTCAAATGTTCCGTGGCCGACTGTCTTCATGAGTTCTTCAATAGCAAAAATTCTTCTCTTTAAACAACTTGATCGATTGTCAGACAGTTTTAGACACCCATTTATTTGTATATGCATGCAGTAGAGGAGCTCTTTATTTGGTGCAAACTTTATGGAAGATCTTGAAGCGTTCAGGTAACTGCGTCGACGAAGTCGAATTTCCGAACCAAGGTTGGTCTTTAACGCTTTTTTCAGTTTCGATCTTCCATTATGTTGCTTTGTAATTGTTAATGCACCAACCACAAATTCTTTATTTTTGCGTCAAGTTCGCCTCTTTCATACTTCTGGTTGGTTTCAGTCACGGCGTCTATGAATAAAGAAGGACTTACATTTTTAATGTCAGCGTAGGGTGTGTAAATACCCTTAAGCAACTGTCCAAACAACTCAATGTTAATCAACAACATTTATCCTTATCACACTGTACAATTTTGTGCTCGCTTTCTCCCGAACTTTTAAATTCCATTGAAAGAACTTTAGCAATCGTTATACTACTTATTTAAGCAGGCATGCTTCAGTAGGGTAATTGGCTGGTAACGAATGATACAAGGGGTTCGTTTACTGAAGAGCTGCAAGCATGTACCGTGTAGGCTGTTGAAAATCCTGTCAACAAGAGATAAGCTATCTGGCAAAGCGACGGGTGTGTTGGCGACAACTTGCGTAAAATCTACTGAGCGGAAACATTTGGAGTTTGTTTGTACTGAAACTAAGTGCAATCATAACAGATACTTTGACCCCTTAATTTGGAACCAGCCGTTGTTGGCCCACCTGAATCAGTGAAAACAAAGACAGTTCGTTAGCTCAGGCATAAGGTGTCGTAAATTTACCTATAATGTTACAAATAATACAATATTTTTTTACTGTGAGTTGGAACGATTTTCTGAAAATCGTAAACTATTCTGTAAACCATATAATGCATAAATCACCTGGACCTGATATAACATCAAACTTGAGTAAAGAATTACCAAAAGTCTCCCTGAGTAAGACAACTGCGTTCAGTCGTTTAACACTTTGGCACTGCAGAAGAGGATTGGCCATTTCGTTCACTTGATGCTCCCTATTGGGTATCGAACTCTGGTATAGCGGGCAAGTACTGCTACAACCGCGCCCGCACTCCACCTATAGGAGAATGACGCTGATTCATCATTGGTATGACTACTCGACTTAGACTTATTTATGTCTCTTTGTTTATGACTCTCACTAGTTAGGATTAGGGTTGATTGATTATTCCACAAGTGCTTAGGGAATCCATCTACCTATTTCGATCCAATTCATTAGCCTCTTCCAGTGATTTTGTGCATTTCCCATTCTCCGCCTTCAAACAATTTACTTAATTCTTGCCTCATGACTTCAAGCCCCTCAACTAACTTACAATTTCAGAACAATGACTACATGGTTACTGATTCTTCTCTATTGTTTCCATAATTAAATAATCTCTCTTTAAATCTGCGCCATTCCTGCCTTGTGATGACTGAATTCCTGCAGTTTGGAAGGGTAGTAGACCTGTTTTCCCACCTGACATTAACATCCTCTTGGTATACCTGATCTATAGCGAAAGCAATAAATAATCAAATATTTAAGGTTCTGTTGATTAGGCTTACCAAATTAAAGGTTACCTCCTTGATCGGCCAACTCCCTCACTGTCTGCTAACATGTACTTTATACAGTCATTGATTTCGATCACAAAATTGACCTTAAACTAAGTAGACAAGTCTTCCCCTTAAAGACAGTCTCTTCTCCCCCCCCCCTCCCCCACTTCTCTTTATTTTGATCAAATGAGGTTTGGCAGCTTGCCGTTATCTGGTTAGTTGGAGGAAGCTATCATTGTATGTCGCAATTACTTATGACTCTTTTGGCGTCTTGACAGTTGTTGCTACCTTCCCAAAATAGATTTTAAAACAAACGGGCGCGTTAGGAATGTTGATAAAAATGAAAAAAAATTGCTTTTACTTATCAAAAATATCTCCAAAATAAAAAAAATGCATAGGCATGGATTAAACAATGTTCCAAATCTAACCACATAGACATAAAATGGCGCTCTTCGCATTTTGGGAAGGGCTTACACATGTTATCTTTCTTGCATACGATTTGAAATACAAACTGATCATCTCTCTTTAGATCTCATGTACTTACTGTGGATCTTCGACCTATCTGCAATAACTGTTACAAAAGGCTTCCAAATGACCTGAGAAACAGGCTTCAAAAATGGCGGTATAGAGAACGTCATCCAATTGACCTGTGGATGCGCAGTTTTATCGATAAAATGTTTTGCATTTATCCACGATCAAATTTTGAGAAAAAGACAATTCCTCTGAATCGAGAGGCTATACCTTACTTGCGAAGCGGCCAAATTTTCTATGGACCCCAGAAAGACCCGAAGACAAAGAAGTTTAAAGATATCTCTCCTTGAAATCGTACTCTTCTATTTTTGTTTTAATTGTTTGCTAATTCGTCCATCCACTTAAAAAATCAACTATTTACATTTTCAAAGTTTATATGCTTTGGCATGATGTGAAACTTGGTATTTCAAAGTGTGTTTTAATCAAGTTTGTTTAAAACCGCGGAACTCAAATTAAACAAAACTGAAAGTGACCACCAAGGAAGTTAATTGTGCAAAAAAGCATTGAGATACTGAAGACAAACTTGTTTATGTAACGTTCATAACCCTAGAACACCCCTGAGAGAAAACGTCTGTTCTAGTTTCATTTTGCGCCGACAGCAACTAATTTAAATGTCAAACAAGACATGTCTGGTAACTGGTAGAGGTCACTCACATTCAGGTCGTTTTGTCTCAAAAGAAGTTTAGCATGTGTTCCGATACAGATGGTCTGGATATCACAAGTTTGAAATTAATCGTTGGTAAATTCTGCTAATTATACATTTTTAATCTTATAGATTTAGATATATTTTTAACAAGGCTACTTTATTCCACCTTAAATGCATCCTGTTATATTGAAATCGTGTTAACTCCTATTTTCTTGCTTGAATCTAGTCAGTCAGCTGAAAAGTAACTTGAAATATTTGGCCCAGCATCAAAATTGAATAATCGATTAATAAGATCTGGACTACATGAGAGCAAATTCGTTCAGGAACATAGGCCAGGAATCTGTATGTAACGGTCAAACATTTTGAATCCAAAGACCCAATATTGGTAGACCCTTTTGATACTCTGACTTTATATTCTACGCACACGAGGTGTGGGATAGACTTACCGCCTCGTGGAGGGCTAATGATAACTATCAAAACGCCTGTCGTTTGTTATAAATAAATATTCTACGCACACTCTAACTGCTTCCCTCAACTCATATTGAACCACCTTTAAGCCTTTTTTTGCAAAAATGCTATCCAACGGTAAAACTTTATATTTTTTTGCCTTTCCGTTGTGAAAGAGAAAAGTGTACACTATGAACAAGCTTTGACAAATAAGAAATATTACACCAGAATGTGATTCTGATTGCGGTCATCTGCTGGGTAATTCAAAGGCCACAATACCTCTCTAGTTATAATAAATCTTGTTTACTCTACGTCAGATGGAAATGTTAAGATGAAGGTTAATTGGCAACTTGGCATTTCTTAGCAGTGTGTATTGTTCAAGTTTGTGGAAATGTTCTCACCATTTCTCATTCTCTTATCAGTTTTGATCACGTCTGTCAGAAATTGGAAAAAACACAACAAAATTATACTTTGATTGCTATGACTCTAATATGAAATGATATTCCCCATAGAAGTAGATATGGTGGTATTTGAGGCAGACAGAAAATTAATTATGTAAGTTACGATTTTGAAAATGCCGTTCATTTAGTTCATTCAAACGGACGATTGTATAAAAGAGTATTATTTGGACAGAAGAGGGGTGCACGATAGACCTACCTCCACGTGGTGCACCCTGGGCAACGTATACTCATACGGCAAAAAAGTCTTTTAACTGAAAGTTGACTACTGACTTCAAACTACCATCACCCCACTCTATGTCATATTCCACTACGTCCACAGTAATCACCTCACCCTTTTTCTACCTTTGTGTCTGTTTCTTTTACATCTTTGAAACACTCTTCTCTTCCATCCCCCCCCTTCCTCTCGCCTTTTTTCGCTTTGATTTTCCTTTCCCTCTGCGAAGCCTGAAGTCAACTAAAGGCCAATGCTAACTATCATAGCGCTTGTCATTTGATAAAAATAAATATTTGGACAGAGGATGAGTAGCGTTCAACCATCAATTCTATTATATAATTGTTGAGGCTCCTTTGAGTTATTTTAAGGTCTTCAATTGCAGCATAGCTGTCGAGTAAAGTGGGCGAAATTGGCTAAGGTTGTAAGTTTTTCCTTTCAACGAAGTCTTGCGTTTAGCAAAGTCTCAAATTGTTTATCACTCACGAGTTGATCAGTGCAAGATATTGATCCATATTTATATTTATCGACCTGTTAGTTGATTTAACTTGAGACTTGAGGTAAGTTCAGGGAAATTTTCCTGGAAATATCAAACTGACTGCATATCAACATTTCAACTTTGGTAGTCAGGGCAATGATGGTGCACCGGATTTATAAAGGCTGAGTTCACGCGGTCCTTACTC